ACCGGCCTCTGATGCAGGATGCAGCAGTGTAACCCACTGTGCCACAGCCCCTGCCTAAGTCAAATAATCCTAAATACAGGAAGTGCTGGGCACGTGGAGATGTCCATCATGGCACGGCTTCGCATTCTATGGAGCACACAATACACACCCAAGAACAGGGAGCTGGCAGCGCACCTGCGGGTGGAGTGGTGCGCCCAGCGTGCAGTGCTCTGCAGGCACAGGACAAGCAGATGCTGGGGAAGCAGCGTGCAGGGAGGGAGTGAGCCGTGAGGTCTTCTCCACAGCCACAGTGGGGGAGAAGCAGGCACACAGGACCCGTGTCACCGCCTTGCTTCTGCATGTTTTCTGAAATGTGATGATGTGGTGTTTGTAATTAAGAGTAACAGGAGTAGATGGCATTTGTTACTGCTCCAGTGAGCTGGTGCAGACAGGTGTGGGGATTGGGTCTCAGGCCCTGCAGTCTGCTGCAGATCCTGCCTGCGACAGTTGGGACGGCTTGATCTTATCAGCAAAGGGCTGATAAGGGACATTTGGTTGTCACTGGACTCAGATGCATCATCAGCCCAGCTGGCCTCCTCCTCGGCCGTGGGCTTGCGGGCGTCCTAAACCCCACTAATCACTGAGCCAAATGCGCCCATGGAAGACTGCTTTTTGAAAAGAAGACACAGGGGCCAGCGCTGTGGCCTGGCCAGTAAAGCTGCTTCCTGGAACTCTCGTGTCCCATAGGGAGACAGGTTCAAGTCCTGGCTGCTCCACTTCCAGTCCAGCTCCTTGCTAATGGCCAGGGAGAGCAGTGGAGGGAGGCCCAAGTATTTGGTCCCTGCACCCACGTGGGAGGCCTGGCTTCCGCCTGGTCCAACCCTGGCTGTTGTGGGCATCTGAGCGAGTGATCCAGCAGATGGAAGATTTCTCTCTCTGTCTCTCTCTGCAACTGCGACTTTCAAATAAATAATCTTCTTTAAAATAAAGGTGTAAAAAATGATATTGACAGTGGTGAGATGAAGCATGATAAGATATTGGAGTAGAATCTGAGGGTAGCCAGAAGGACACTGTAAAGGTTTGAGGTCTCCGAGAAGTTGACTAATTTTTAAAAGAATTGAATTGAGAGAAGCACAAACTTTAATAACTGATGGCAATGGAAAGCCAGGGCAGGCCACCGACCACTGGTGGTGGCAGAGATGAGTGGACAGGCAAACCCAGGGCCAGGAGGCCCAAAGCGTCCCTGACATCTCACCCAGACGAAGATTTACTTATTTATTTGACAGGCAGGGTTACAGAGAGACAGATCTTCCATTCTCCAAAGGGCAGTGACGGCCAGGGCTGGGCCAGGCTGAAGCCAGGGCCCAGGAACTCCATCCACGTGTCCCCCACGGGTGGCTGGGCCCCAGTACCTGGGCCATCTTCTGCTGCTTTCCCAGGTGCCTTAGCAGTGAGCTGGGTGGGAAGTGGTTGGGCCTTGGAGGTGGAGACACATGAAGAATTGACAGGTGCTGTCATGTGGGCTGTTTATACACAGCAGTGTCCGAGGTGGCCTGTGGCCAGTGGGGATGACCAGCAGGAGAGCATGCGGAGGGGCTGCTTGGTCTGCAGCCTTCCTCTGGGACATGAAATGAGCTGGAATTAGCACTGAATATGTAAAAGTCATTGAACTGTACACTTAGAGGATGAATTCTATAGAACGTGAATTATTTCTCAATTTAGAAAAATCAGTAGCAGTTAACAGGTAATTTAAAATGGTCTTATTCTGAATAACAAGAGAAGTCTTAAATGCCCGGGAGTAAATCTATTTCTGAGGAGATGCCCATAAAGGCTGAAGGAAGGAGGAGACGTTGGATACGTGTGGGCGGAGGCGTGACATTGTCCATCTCCCTGTTTAGTTATAAACTTATCACAGGCGTGTAGGAAGCCAGCAGATCACTTTGTATGTGAATGGACACATCAATTTTAAGTTTTATATGAAGTTAGAGTCAAGAATAGACCCGAGGATTCTAGGAAGTGGACAGGGATTCCTCCCCCGCAGGTGTGAGGGCTTACCATGTAGCAACGCAGGACACAAGGCAGCGGGCCAGCACCCAGCAGAAGAGAGACAGCAGGACCTGGAGGGACACTGGTCTGTGGGTTCTGGCAGTGGAAGCATTTACGTGAAAAATAAAATTAGTTTCTAAACTCACATCATTCTCCAAAATAAGCCTGCATTTAGGACTGAAAGCAAAAATGTGAAAAACTTTTGGAGAAATAGTCAGGAAAATGTCTCTTACCCCCAGGAAAGGTACAAGATATAAAAAGATCAATAACACGAAAATACCAATTTTACTGAGGGCAAAAAATGTAAACCAAGTTAAGATCAAGATAAATATCAGGAAAAGATATTGGCAAAACTTATCAAGAGGAATTAACATCTAGAATGCCTAAAGTACTTGTATAAATCAACACAGAAAAAGCTGAAAAATATTGAAAACTGACTCAAAGATGTGACCGAGTGAGTCCCAGGGAAGGGACACCCGTGTGGCCACAGAGTTCGGGTGAGGGCGAGACCCAGCCTGGCGAGGCAGGCCCGAGGGCAGTTCGGCTTCTCATGGTCGTGGCAACTGAAACACCAAGCTGGGAAACTGAACAGGACTGCGGCTCTGAGCCGTGGTGGGGATGTGGGGCTGCTGGAAGCATGAGCTGCAGTAGCCACCCTGGGGTGCACTCGACTGGCGGGCCCTCGGGTGTGCTCCCCGGGACCCAGCGGCCTCCTCCCAGCACCAACTGGGGTGTCTTCAGCATGGTCTCAGGCAGGTGCTTGTAAGCAGAGAGAGCACAGCTTCCGCAGCCTCCGAGGGAGAGCAGGCAAATGGGCCCTTTATGCCCCTGGCTGCTGCAGTGCCGTGAGGATACCAGACAGCAGCTGGTACAGCTCGACAGGCATCAGCTTGAACATCTAGAAAACATCGTGTTAGAGAAGACTCAGGGACCAGGATCCCAGGCACCTGGGCCATCTTCCACTGCTTCCCCAGGCCATGAGCAGTGAGCTGGATGGGAAGTGGAGCAGCCGGGACTCGAACCGCCACCCATACGGGGCGTGAACCAGTGGATGAAAGATCTCTCTCTCTCTCTCTCTCTCTCAATCTCTCTCTCTGTCTCCTAAGTCTAACTTTCAAATAAATAAATAAATCTTTTAAAAAGTACATGCGGAAAAGTCTGCTGAGATGCCCACGGGTCCTGCACTTTCGCAGCCCCGGGCCCCAGTTCTCACTTTATGTCCGGTTCCCCCTTTCTGGAATGGGAGCCCTCTTTCACTCCCTGGAACCCCCTTCCTGGAATGGGAGCCTTCTTTCGCTCCGTTTCCTACAGCCCCGTCCCACCCCACTCCCTGGGAATGAGCCTGTGTCTGGGATATGAACTGCGGGTTTTTTTCTCAGCCTATTGTTGGCTTTGACTGTGAGGGTTTTTGCCACATGGAGTTTTTTTTTAACTGAGGTGACCGAATGTGCACATATGTTCCCCAGAATCTCTGAGGTTTGGGTCATATTTTAAAGTCCGTTCTCATGCAAAGATTATTTTTTAATTACCAAAAACTTGTCTAGTTTGTTTCCTTTTAAGTCTTCAGACCAAGCAGCCATCTTTCATTTCTAAATAAACTGAAATTTTCTTTTCTCTTAATATAAGAGTTATTTAGAATATTTTAATTATTTTTCTAAGCAGATAATATTTCAGTTATCCTTTAAAATTACTAATCTTAAGTGTTATTTCACTATTTTCAGAGCTTTAGTTCTTTATGATTTTTGAGTTTGAGGATTTTTCCAGTTTTCCTTTGTAACCCAAGACAGGGTCAGTTTTTTGAGATTATGGCCATGTACTGTGTAGGTATAATTTTATCAGATTTGTGTGTGAAGACATGTGTGCACACGTGTGTGTGAGAATATGTATGAATATGTGGGCCGGTGCCGAGGCTCACCTGGCTAATCCTCTGCTTGCGGTGCTGGTACCCTAGGTTCTAGTCCCGGTTGGGGCACCGATTCTGTCTCGGTTGCTCTTCTTCCAGTCCAGCTCTCTGCTGTGGCCCGGGAAGGTAGTAGAGGATGGCCCAAGTGCTTGGGCCCTGCACCTGCATGGGAGGCCAGGAGGAAGCACCTGGCTCCTGGCTTCGGATCAGTGCAGCTCCGGCCATAGTGGCCGTTTGGGAGGTGAACCAACGGAAGTAAGACCTTTCTCTCTGTCTCTCTCACTCTCTAACTCTGCCTGTCCAAAAAAAAAAAAAAAAAAAAAAAAGACTGGAATATGTATGTGTGAATGTATGTGTTTGTGAGAATGTGTGTTTCAGAGAGAATGTGTGTGTGAGGAAGAAAGTGTGTGAGTGTGCATGCACATGTCTTAACCCACCCAGGCTGCCATCACGAGCAACACACGTTTGCTCTTGTCCGTCCTGGGTGTGGACAGCCGGGGTCCAGGTGCTGATGAGCGTGGCCGGGTGGGGCCTCCCCCTGAGCTGAGACGGGGCTTCTGTCTGTGCAGGCTGTGCACAGGTGAGGGTGGTGCTGTGGACACCTCCCCTTGCCCTGGACAGAGTGGACACAGCGCTGTGGGGGGCGGGGGCTGGGCGTGTTCCACCGTCCTGGTCCACCAGCTGCTGCAACAAGACCTAAGCTGCTGGCTTCCTCTCACCTTAGCAGGTCAAGTGGGGTCCAGGGGCAGCAGGTCCAGGTCATGGGTCCCTAGCAGCGCCTCCTGGCTGTGTCCTCCCTCTGTGACCAGGGCGAGGGCACTCGTGCCTCCCGGGGCTCCTGGGTCCATCTCCTGACATCTCCTTAGGGTTAGGATCTCAACATTTGAATTTGGGGGACATGAACATTCTGCTTTTTAAAGAAACAGAGAGAGAGAGGGCTTCCATCTGCTAGCTCACTCCTGCAACGGCTGGAGCTGGGCAGACTGGACGCCAGGAGCCAGGAGCTCCTTCCAGGTCTCCCACATGGGTGCAGGGGCCCAAGGACTTGGGCCATCTTCTACTGCTTTTCTAGGCCATCAACAGGGAGCTGGATTGGAAATGGAGCAGCCAGGACTCGAACCAGCGTCCATGTGGGATGCCGGCACTGCAGACAGCAGCTTTACCTGCTGCACCACGGCACCGGCTCCAGACACAAACATTCTGACCACAGCTCCAACTCCACCCTGGACCCTGCTCTCCACTGCAAGAACTCCTGCATTCCCCATGCCCCCAGGTAGGACCAGGGCTGTTGCTGGGGGCACCAATCACACAATGAGCCTGGGGTGGCTTCAAGGGATGGACAGGGTAGGTGCAGTGTAAGCACAGACAGCAGCAAGAGGGACCAGGAACCCCGGAGCCGATGGGAGGAGGCACAGGGGTGAACAGGCACCTCCAGCATTGATGTGCACTTCTGATGTCGGGTGTGGGGCAAAGGCAGGGACAGGTAAGGCAGGAGAGGCTGGCCACGCGGGGTGCGTCCACCAGCTGCCAGGTGTTCCCTCTGAGTGCCTGCTCATCACAGCAACCCCACTTTCAGGGGGGAAACCGAGGCACCAGTGCGTCCTTCAGGAAGCGGTGGTCAGGGCTCTCCCAGACATGCCTCCCCCACCCCCCTCCTGTCTGCCTCGATGCCACCTGGCTTGAGTGGCCAGAGAAGCCCCTGGTGGTGGTGTGAGCTCCTGACTATGAGAGCCAGGGCCACCCAGATGTGTGTTTCCCTCTTGCTTTGTGGCTGTACTTATTATTATTATTTTTTTTTTTTAATTTACAACCAGAGGGGTGATGGAGGGTATGCATCACGGGTACTGGAACCTCCGCTGGACAGAACGCCGCCTCCCAGCCAGGACATGCGCTGTCCCCAGCAGCTCCAGCTGTGTTTTTCTGAACACAAATCAGAGCTCTTGGAGCAGCTAAATACATTCAGTAACGGGGCACGCACTGCCGGGTACAGCCGACGAGGTTTTCTCCCTGCACTCCCGAGGTCAGTGCCCTGCAGGTGAACCTGGAAGCCCGGCGCCTGGGGTGATGGATGGCCCTGGGGCTGCTGCTCCCGCCCCGCTGATGTGGAGAGAGGTGCTGTTCCCGCCCCCCCAGCCCCCACCGCGAGGTGAGAATCAGCTGGGGTCAGCCTAGCCCCCCACCCCTCGCCGGTCAGGGTCTGAAGCTTTGCCGGGGAAGCTGTGACGCTGCTGGCGGGGCCAGGAGGGAGGAAAGCGCCAGATGGCTGGGCAGGTGTTCCTGCTCCGAAGCCTTATCAGATGCACCCGGGCCAGCCCTGCAGGCGGTGAGGATTGTGAAAGCGAGGGAGGGGATGTCCCCCTTCCCTCCCCCCACCCCTTCAGCCTGCCCGTGCTCGGCAGAGGGCCATCCAGTGTCCTCGTGGCCACTGCCACGTGGTGATTCTGGCCCTGGTGTGCCACATCCTGCCCGAGGCCGTGGCCTGGTCCCTGAGGGACCCTGGCTCTCCCCAGCTTGCCACTGGGAGAGATTCCTGCTGGGCCCTCGGGGGCTCCTGTCCTCATGCCCCAGGGCTTTGCCGCCCTAGGCCCCTGTGCAGTGGGCTGGGCCCAGGCCTCTCACCTCCTGCCTTTGTCCCGAGGAGCTGCTCAGTGGGGCGGGAGGTGGGGGAGTAACTCCGGCTGCCTCCCCACTTGGGGGGGAAGGGACTTGGTTTCCAGTCACGGACATCAATGTTCAGTTTCTTTTTCCTTGCCCACCCGCCCCACTTTGTTGGGCGTATCCCTAAAACGAGGGGCTCCCTTCCCTCCCAGCTCCCCGTGCCACAGAGACAGCAGCTCCAGGCCGAGGCAGCACCACAAACAGCGCTGTCCTCCAGGGTGGAGGCAGGGACGGTAGAAGGGAGTGGCCCCGGGGCGGATCGGGGCGGGTCTGGGTGTTGCAGCCCCTGGTCCTGGACTACGCCTCTGCCAGCAGACTGGGAACTTCTCTGAGGCAGCGCTGGGTCTTAAGCAAGTGTCCCCAGCTGTGCCGGCCTGCGCCTGTGCTGAGCACACAGCCTGGCTGCACAGCGTCTGACTGCCTGTGCTGAGCACACAGCCTGGCTGCACAGCGTCTGACTGCCTGTGCTGAGCACACAGCCTGGCTGCACAGCGTCTGACTGCCTGTGCTGAGCACACAGCCTGGCTGCACAGCGTCTGACTGCCTGTGCTGAGCACACAGCCTGGCTGCACAGCGTCTGACTGCCTGGCTGCACAGCTCTGACTGCCTGGGGCCTGCACGAGCGGAGCCTGGGTCTGCTGAGAGGCAGGGTTGGAGGGGCCGCGGGGGGCGCTCGGCCCCTTCCCTCCGGGAGGAGCAGCTGCTGCACCTGCAGCACAGCTCAGCAACGTGACAGGGAGCGTGGCAGGGGTGCACGTGGCAGGCTGGAGGTGTGGGCAGAGATGCAGCCCCGGAAGGACACTGTCCCTGGTCCCTGAAGTGGCCGGGGCCCAGGCCACACAGATCAGCCGCAGGGAGAAGCTCTCTTCTTCCAGACCAAGGCACAAGGTAGACGCAGAGTGGATCTCACTCAGCAAGGCCACCGGGGAGGGCGGGGACTGGCTGGGGGAGGCAACGGCTGTGTGTCCCCTCCAGGCCAGTAGCTGCCCCTCAGTTGCAGGGGCTGGAGCCCTAAGAGGGGCAGCCGAGACAGCTGGGGGAGCCCTAGTGGCCCGACCACCCCCAAGGCACCTGCCTCCCCCAACCACCAGCCCACTGCTGACTCTGGGAGTCCAAGAACCATGGCGCTGGGCCTGCCCTGGGCAGGCGCTGATGGGGTGGCCAGGCTGGAACATGAACCACAGGCCACCAGACCTGGGAGGACACAGGGCTGTGAACCAGCAGGAGGGGTGGGAAGCTGGGTGACCCCGGCCAAAGCAGGAAGGTGAGAGAGAGGCAGAAGGGGCTGGAGGGTGAGAGCCTGAGGCGAGTAGCGCCTGGAAAGCCCACTGCCCTCTGTGGGTGGACCTTGAGCGGGTGTTGGCCAGAGGGCCTGGTCAGGACTGACAGCTCTGGATGCTCACAGCCCCGGCAGGACCAGGCCACAAGTCACAATGAAAAGGGCCAGGGGGGTCCAGGCTGCGCCACACCCAGGGTTGGGGTTCAGGGGAAAGTGGGCGAGGGGGCGGGGAAGAAGCAGGCCTGGGACCCCGCACTGTTTAACGCTTTGTCGGTCCTTCATGTCACCCGGACTGAGGACAACGGGACACTGGCCGGGAGGGGCTTCGCGAGTCACGGTGGCTTCAGGCAGTGCCTGCAGACGGGGACCCTGGCTCTGGCGAGGGGGGACGCCGCGAGGGGCGGCCTGGGCAGGGGCGGCCCCGCCCAGCGACCGGGTGCGCAGGGAGACCAGGCCCTGTCCGTGGTGCTGACCGTGCCCGCAGCTTGCGGGTCCGGGCACAGGGCGCGCAGGTGCTGAAGAGGTCGCGAACACGCGTGTTCCTCTTTTGGCAGCGGTCACGTCCTGCAGGGAGGGGGAGACCCCGAGTCCCCAGAGCCTCCGTTGCACGCCCGCGCTCTGCGCCCGAGTCTCTGGCCGTGCATCCCCCCTCTGTGCCCCGGAGCCTACGCCCAGCACCTTTCCCGCAGCTTCTGTTCTCGGGGGCTATTCAACGCTCCTCCCGCGAGCTCGGGTTCCCCAAACCCCGCGGAGGTCACCTGCAATCCCCTGAAGTCTTCTCGGAGGTCGGACTCTCGGTGCAGCCTCATGACAAGCGTGACCTCTGAGCTGTGCGTGCTGCTGCTCCTGGCCCCGGATCCCTGCACACCGGGCCCCCCGGATCCCTGCACACCGGGCAGGTCTGCACCCAAGCCAGGCTGATCCAAAAGGTTCTCCGCCTTGGGAACAGCAGCAGGCATCCTTCGTCCTCAAGCCAAGGGAAAGCCGCGGTGAGAGGTTTGTAGCAGGAAACACGTGACACGGGAAACGCGGGCACAATCTGGAAACCCCTCCGGTGTCCCCGGCCTGAAGGGGCAGCAGAGGTGAGGGACATGGAGGACAGGGAGAACCGAGCGACAGGGCGGAGAGCGTGGAGCCAGCCGGGCTGGGACCATAAAGGACGGGAAATTCCTGCAGAGCAACAGAGGCCTCTGTGGCAAGAGTGAACCATGCAAAGCAGGATGGAGCTGGAGAGACCGAGGCTCAGTTTGGGCATCTGTGAAATGGGCTCCAACATCCTCCTGACAGGGATTCAATGAAATCTCCCAGGTGACGTAACCACCCAGCGTCTGGCACACAAAAGTCTTCCCTGAGGGGACAGTGTTGTGGCGCCTCCGGCTAAGCTGCCGCCTGCAGTACCGGCATCCCACTTGGGTGCTGGTTAGAGTCCCAGCTGCTCCACTTCTGATCCAACTCCCTGCTAATGGCCTGGGAAAGCAGTGGAAGGCCATCCAAGTCCTTGGGCCCCTGCACCAGCGTGGGAGATCGGGAAGAAGCTCCTGGCTCCTGGCTTCGGGTTGGCCCAGCTCCAGCCTTTGTGGCCATTTGGGGAATGAACCAGGGGATGAAAGACTCTCTCTCTCTCTGTCTCTCCCTCTCTGTCTGTAACTTTGCCTTTCAAACAAATAATAAATCATTAAAAATATGTGCCAGGACGAGTGCTGAGAGTTCTACACGCAGCAACCCTCTCTGCTCCTCCCGCCTGCACCCTCACCCCAGTGCACAGGCGGGAACCCGGGGCACAGGCGGGTTAATTAACTCGCAGGTGGGACGCACTGGCGGTGAACAGAACCAGCCTCACCCCAACCCCTGCATGAAGACCCTCAGCCTGGCATGCGGACACGGGGCGGGAATCCAGCCCTCCCGGAGCACCTGCAGGTGGACCCCGTCCGGAAACAAGCCGACGCCCCTACAAGTCAGCACAGAAACCAAAAAACCAAAGCCAACCAGTCGGCTGGGGTAGCGCGCTGTCCCCCGAGCGAGGACGCGCTCCACTCCGAGGCAGGCGCTCACCTGCCTCACCTGCCGTCCCGACTGCACCTGCTGGCACGGGAGGGAGCCGCGGGCACGCACATCTGGCCCGGGGCGCTCGCTGTCGGGAGGCCGGGGAGAGCAGCGCTGCTCAGCCGGGGAGACAGTGCGGAACCGAAGCTCCGGTCCACGGTTTCGGAAACGTGTCCTGTAGCGGCCTCCGCACATATAGCCTCCGCCTGGCCGGAGCGGCCTGCTCGCCCTCCACCGCCCGCCTCCAGGGGGCGCTGCAGCCCTTGGCGCCCGAGGGCGGTGCCGCGCTGCCCGCACTTCCCCTCTCGCTGCGCCTCACTTCCGGTGGCGGTGGCGACGGCGGCACCGGCGATGCGGCGGAGCATGGCGGGGGCGCGGCCCGCGTCGGCGCGCACGGGGCGGGCTGGGGCGTTCCTGTCCCCGGCCCCTTGAGCACGACGGGACAGGTGAGGACTTCTCCGCCTACCCAGGCTCTCAAGCTCATGCGACCTTTCCGGGGCGTTCTCGCCGGCGTTTCTTCATGGGGTGGTCTCCGGCCACCCGTGCCGCACCCCGGGCACCTGCCCCGTGCCCTGGACCCCCGTGCCGGCGCTCGGCCACCTGTGTCCCTCACGGGACACCCGTGGCCCCTCCCCTCCCCTGGACTCCCGTGCGTCCCGCTGGGCACCTGTGCCGTCCCCTCTGGCACCTGTGGCCCCTTCCCTCCCCTGCAGCCGTGCCGCACCCCGGGCACCTGCCCCGTGCCCTGGACCCTGGTGCCGCCGCTCGGGCACCTGTGTCCCTCACGGGACACCCGTGGCCCCTCCCCTCCCCTGGACCCCCGTGCGTCCCGCTGGGCACCTGTGCCGTCCCCTCTGGCACCTGTGGCCCCTCCCCTCCCCTGGACCCCCGTGCGTCCCGCTGGGCACCTGTGCCGTCCCCTCTGGCACCTGTGGCCCTTCCCCTCCCCTGGACCCCCGTGCGTCCCGCTGGGCACCTGTGCCGTCCCCTCTAGCACCTGTGGCCCCTTTCCTCCCCTGCAGCCGTGCCGCACCCCGGGCACCTGCCCCGTGCCCTGGACCCCCGTGCCGGCGCTCGGCCACCTGTGTCTCTCACGGGACACCCGTGGCCCCTCCCCTGGACCCCCGTGCGTCCCGCTGGGCACCTGTGCCGTCCCCTCTGGCACCTGTGGCCCCTTCCCTCCCCTGCAGCCGTGCTGCACCCCGGGCACCTGCCGCGTGCCCTGGACCCCCGTGCCGGCGCTCGGCCACCTGTGTCTCTCACGGGACACCCGTGCCGCACCTCGCGCACCTGTGGCCCCTCTCCCTGCCCTGCTCGCGTGCCGCACCCCGGGCATCTAGACCGTGCTCTGGCCCCCCATGCCGCCCCTTGGCGTCCCCTCGCGCTGGAAGCCATCACAGGATGGAAGATCCGCGCCCCTGTTCCCTGGGAAGCACTGGCTTAGCATCTGCCCCCGCCCCCCAGCTTCAGCCAGGCTCTCACCTCTGTTCCGGAACACCCAGAAGGACCTGTGCCCCCACCCGCCAGGCCCGGTACTGGGTGGCTAGGGCGGCTGTGGTTCTTTCCTGTTTGGAGCCTGTGAGGGTCTGGTGTGGGTGGTGACAGCAGCCGGGGATTGCGAGATAAAGGGTGGCCCCAGTTAGCTGGGGTGGCCAGGGAGCACTTCCTGACCCGCAAGGGCAGGCAGAGGGGACGGATGGCCCTTAGACCCCCCAGTTGGCCAGGGCTCGAGGCAGTGAAGGCGAGGGGAGAGTTGGGGCGATGGTGGGGTCACCGGGAGCAGTGTGTGGGTGAGTGGTGTGGCTGCATGGACATCTGCAGCCTGACCCAGGTGTTTGTGGAACATGAAATTAATGGAGGAGTTTATTTTAGTGTAAAAACTTGTGAAACCCGCACGGAGAGCTGTGAGGAAGTGCAGGGTGCTGCCCTTGGTGACGGCGTGTCCGGCCTGGGGGCCCAGGTTCCTGTGAGTGGTAGCCGACGGCAGAGGCCCAGCGATGCCGCCTACTGTGGACGTGGGTGTGCACATTCCTCTTCAGGATCTCAGCTCCAGTTACCGTGGATTTACAGAGAGGAATTGTGGGTTATGTGGGAATTCTGTTTTTAATTTTTTGAGGAACCTCCGTACTGTCTTCCACAGCCAGTACCATCTTATAGTACCAGCACCTGAGTTCCGGTTTCTCTACACCCTTAACCATACTTGTTTTCTGTTTTTTTTTTTTTTTTTTGGTTGTACAATCCTTGCTGAGTGTGAGTGTGAGGTGGCATCTTCTGGTTCTGATTTGTGTTTCTCCGCGACCTTGAAGAGCATTCTGTCGGCTTCTTGGCCGTTTCTGTATCTTCATCTGAGAATTATCTGTGCGGGTACTTCATCTGCTTTTTTTTTCTTTAAAGATGTATTTATTTATTTGAAAGAGTTACACAGAGAGAGAAGGAGAGGTAGACAGAGAGACAGAGAGAGATAGAGAGAGAGGCCTTCCATCTCTTCACTCCCCAGTTGGCCACAATGGCTGGAGCTGCGCCGATCCCAAGCCAGGAGCCAGGAGCTTCTCCTGGTCTCCCACGTAGGTGCAGGGGCCCAAGGACTTGGGCCATCTTCCACTGCTTCCCCAGGCCACAGCAGAGAGCTGGATTGGAAGTGGAGCTCCCGGGACTCGAACTGGTGCCCATAAGGGTGCTGGCACTGCAGGCGGTAGCTTTACCTGCTACGCCACAGTCCCGGCCCCCATCTGCTTGTAGATTGCGTTATTTTATTGTTGGTTATGTAAATCTTTGTGATCTGAGTATTAGCTCCTTGTCGGATTTAATGTCTGCGGATGGTCTCTCTCCTCCCCTCTCTGGGCTGTGTTCCGGGAGGCACGGGGGTTTTCCAGTCTGATCTAGCTGTGGTCTGTTTGTCCTGTTGCCTGTGCTTTAGGCCCTGTGTTGTCGCCAAGTCTGGCGTCACGAAGCTCTTCTGTGTCTTCTTCCAGGAGCTGTGCATTTCCCTCAGGTCTGTAATTCATCCTGGCTTGACTTCGGTCAGTGGTGTGAGGTCAGGATCCGCGTTGTGCTTTGCATGCGGAAATCCAGTTTTTCCAGCACCATCTGTGTCCTTTTCCTCTGGCCACAGGCTGCGGGGCTCTGATTCGCCTTGAAATCAGAAGTGTGAATCCTCCAGCTTGTTCTTTAAGATGAGTCTTTATCTGCAAAAAACACCCTTGGGACTTTGATGGCGCAGCGCTGAACCCACTGCTGCCCTGGGCGTGTGGGCACCTTGCCCAGGGGATGCACAGGACTCTGACACTCTTCCTCCCGGTGGACGGTCCCAACAGCTGAGCACACGTGGAGGGGACTCCTGCCTCCGTTCTGTTTCCAGACGCGGAAGCCCACTGCCGACTGCTCTGGGAAGGGGAGGGCCGAGGGATCTGGTGGGAACCGGCGGTATGCTCGCCTAGACCTGTGCTGTGGCAGACTCTGCTTCCTTCTCTTGACCTCTGGACTTCTCATGCAGAGATGTGACGATGGATCACCATGCTTCCACCATCAAACCCCGAAGAATCCAGAACCAGAATGTCATTCACCGCCTGGAGCGCCGGCGGATCAGCTCGGGCAAGGCCGGCACCCACTGGCATCAGGTGCGTGTGTTCCACCAGAACGTCTTCCCCAACTTCACGGTGGTCAACGTGGAGAAGCCTCCGTGTTTCCTGCGCAAGTTCTCGCCTGACGGACGCTACTTCATCGCCTTCTCCTCGGACCAGACGTCTCTGGAGATCTACGAGTACCAGGGCTGCCAGGCAGCCCAGGACCTGCTGCAGGGGTGCGGGGGCGAGATCCTGTCCAACGGCAGCGACCAGCGGGCGGTTGGCATCAGGGGCCGGCTCTTCGAACGCTTTTTTGTCCTGCTGCACATCACCAATGTGGCCGCCAACGGCGAGCACCTGAACCGGGAGTGCAGCCTGTTCACCGACGACTGCCGCTGTGTCATCGTGGGCTCGGCTGCCTACCTGCCGGACGAGCCCCACCCCCCCTTCTACGAGGTGTACCGCAACAGCGAGTCGGTGACCCCCAACCCGCGGTCCCCGCTGGAGGACTACTCGCTGCACATCATCGACCTGCACACCGGCCGTCTGTGCGACACGCGCACGCTCAAGTGTGACAAGGTGGTCCTGTCCCACAACCAGGGGCTGTACCTGTACAAGAACATCCTGGCCATCTTGTCGGTGCAGCAGCAGACCATCCATGTCTTCCAGGTGACCCCCGAGGGCACCTTCATGGATGTGCGCACCATCGGCCGCTTCTGCTATGAGGACGACCTGCTCACCGTGTCGGCCGTCTTCCCCGAGGTGCAGCGCGACAGCCAGACGGGCATGGCCAATCCCTTCAGGGACCCTGTCATCAACTCCCTGAAGCACCGCCTGCTGGTGTACCTGTGGCGCCGGGCAGAGCAGGACGGCAGTGCCATGGCCAAGAGGCGCTTCTTCCAGTACTTCGACCAGCTGCGGCAGCTGCGCATGTGGAAGATGCAGCTCCTGGACGAAGACCACCTTTTCATCAAGTACACGAGTGAGGACGTGGTGACGCTGCGGGTCACAGACCCCTCCCAGGTAGCCCCGCCCCTGGGCTGACCCCCAGAGCACATCTTTTTATTTTTATTAAGAT